ATGGGGGCATGACTTTAATTTGGACTTTAACTAGGTCGAATAATAAGTTAGTTATATATGTGTTCTTTACAGGGAAACTTTCAACAATGCTAACGGAGTGGGCTGAAAAAGCAGTTAGCTAAAATGAAGAGCGTACGACAGGATGGTCTGTTTCAGGTGTTTCAGATGCAATATATCAAGTGCATGATTTCAAACATGGTGGCAATGTTGATCTGAGGCAAGAGACTTGTACATGCAAATATTAGGAAGGAACTGGTTTTCCTTGTGGTCATGTCATAATGGTCTTAAAGCACTTGACAAAAACTAACTTTGGACATCTGGCTATAGACGCTTACAAAATGGAAACGTACCGACGTACGTATGAGGAAGCGGTTTACCCTCTTCTAGAACCGTGTGATTGGGAGCTTCCTGATGAGATGATGGTTGTTAAATTCCTGATAATGGATACACGTCAAGCTAGTAGACCGAAAAACAAAAATCGTATATTGTCACAAGGTGATGAACCTATAGTAAGAAGGTATAGTAGATGTGATAGTACAACACATAATGTCGCGGCTTGTCCGACATTGGTCCCAATGAAGTAAAAGAGGCCTGTAAAAAGTAGAGTGGCATCAGGTAGTAAGACAAAAGGGAAAGGGACGCAAGGGACTTACAAGATGCAAGAGACGCATAGGACGCAAGAGACGCACATGACGCAAGGGACGCAAAGAGAAGACTATTGTTCAACGTTTGATTTGAATGATTGATGTTGTATTTATAATTAAGTATGTTATGTTTTGGAAGACATTTATTGTGTACTTTGAAATGGTGTGGTTACTTTAAATATTATGGGTTATTTTATGATTATACAAGTGCATCATTACTAGTAGAGTTAATTTCATAAAATAACTTAAACTCGAAGATAATACATATAGCAAACCAAAAACACATAATAAACATACAACAACAGTAATTAACTTAAGGAAATTGCAATGGATACTTATCTTTCTCCATTGTTATATATTTGTCCCTAATTCTTAGTTTATCTTCAAAACGACCATTTTGCCGCCCAACATCTATCATTTCTGCATCCTTCTCAGCAAGCCATTTTCAGTCATTTTGATAGTTTTCTTAGTCTTTTTTGTCCATTCTTCATGCTCTTTGATTTTATTTTTATTAATCTACATCCTTTCCTCCGCCTCTTTACACTCTGCTCAATGACGTCACGACGTTCAGTGAGAGCCCGAGATGATTCTTTATCTTTTTTTTGTTGTTCTTCAGCCCATTTCAATTGTTGCAAAGTATCATCAGACATATATGGACCTCTCATGTTTGCTGACGGTGCAAGAAAAGGGTTCGTCGGATCACAATAGTAACAATCAACTTCGTTGCTCGAGAAAATATAGAAATTTAAAGATGAACTCATATTAAAATTTTTAAAAAAATGTAACTCTTTACCAAAAATTCAACGATCATCTATGAAAATATATAGACCCTTCAACTCCGCAGAGAGCTGTTTCTCAGTCCGCGGAGCTGTTTGTCGGGAATCCAAGGATGTTATTCCTTGTGATCCATACATTACAATTATTTATTAAAAGGTAAACTTTATTAATTAAAAGGTAAACATTATTTATTAAAGAGTAAACAATGCCAACAGACCAAAACTAAGGTTAACATAGAACTGAATACAAACTAATATTCGTTGTGATCCATACATTACAACTCAAGTAAATTGCCATGGAGATAAGACAAAAACACTTCAATTGGTAGTTCCCAATGCATAAGGATTGGAATAGGATTCACCGTCTCAGTTTGAAAAGCATTTCGCTACACCGCGGTAGTTAACTTTAAATTTACCATTTGCTGGGTTTCTTCAATTTCAAGCCTTTGTAGTGATGTTATTAGTTGATCACTAGGTATACCGCATTTTTGCCATTTCCCACAAGTACAAATCCTACGTTCTAATTGCACGGATTCGGTGGTTAAATACGTACTCACTTCATATATGTCGCCAACAATATGCCAAACCCTACAACTATCTGAGTGGATAAATATTTTTTGAAGCACCTTAAGTGCATAAGGGGTCAGAAGACCATGAAATTCCCCTGTGAAATGAACTGAATCATCAAATAAAATTATGATGTCATAAAATTACCTCTGAATGCAGCACGTTGAACGTATACTCCTTGCATCGGGTCATGGACCATTTGAATGACTGTTGTTATTGGTAACTCATGCCTGTTTGTTTTTATCCAATTGACGACATCGGGAATGTCAATGAATTTAACATTGAAACGTACCTTAGGGAAAAAAGCCCGTACCCATTTTGCAATGACAATTTTGTCAAGCAAGTGAAGATCATTCTCATTCACCTTATTTTGTAAGTTGTTCAAACACGCATAAAAATCAGACATATTATACGTTTTGCATGTCTTCCAGAACAACTGCTCCACAACTGTATTGCTTCCGGTGGAAGCGCGTATTTTCTCAGCTATATTTTTACAACAATAGTCATGATATGAATCAGGGTAGACTCTCCTAACTGCAAAGTCTATGGACTCAGACATATGGCTTATGAAACTAACTTTCGTACTGTCACCTAAACATTCTTCCAGCCTCCTCATGAACCATACCCATGAATCGTCACATTTTATTGTTCCCAAAGAAAATGCTATGAGAAGGGGTTCATGATTTCCATCTAAAGAAACCAGAATGTACATGAATGTTATGTACGTCCCAATTAGAGGTACGTGACCAACGAATATGATTGGTATCATAGACGTGAGAAACGTACAGATCTGCAAGTAATGATAAGAATATTAGCCATATAACAACTTCAAATAACAAAAAATTTAGTATAAAGGATTACATACCATGCATCCCAATGCCACAAAACAAAATTGGAAACGATTGTACGAATCTTTCTTAATGCACGTGAAGGTGTTAGGATTGGTTCTTTGCAGATTATGAAAGAAAATTGGTAGGTTGGAGAAACTTTTTTATTGAATACCTCGTTGACTGAACTCATTTTGACAACTTTTGACAACTTCTAAAAATGAAAATGGTTGTCCAATTTAAATGGAATCCATATTCATTATTCCACAGAACTGTTTAGGTAGTCCGCGGAAGTGACTTGTCAGTTCGCGGAAGTGACTGAATTGGCAGTCCGCGTAACCTATCTTGTCAGTCCGCATAATTAAATTGGCAGTACTCGGAAGTAAATGAAATGGCAGTCTGCGGAAGTGACTTGGCAGTCCGCGTAACTGACTTGGCAGTCCGCGTAACTGACTTGGCAGTCCGCGTAACTGACTTGTCAGTCCGCGTAACTGACTTGGCAGTCTGTGTAACTGACTTGGCAGTCCGCCTAACTGACTTGGAAGTCCGAGTAACTGACTTGGCAGTCCGTGTAACTGACTTGCCAGTCCGCATAACTGACTCGGTGGTCCACATAACCTATCTTGTCAGTCTGCATAACTGACTTGGAAGTCCACGTAACCTATCTTTTTATATAATAAAGCTTGTATCTATATGAAATTCACATCTTTTATTCACAAAATGGATACTTTCACAAAATGTCGTCCAATGTACCAAGTTCTTCGAATAAAGCAAATCCATCAAATGCAGCAGCTCCATCAAATGCTACACGTCCATGGACGACAATAGAGGTGTTGGTCCTAACACGATACTGGATTACGGTTTACGAGGGTCTCCCAGCAATGGCTTCCCCTCATTGTTGTATTGATGATGAATGGTCCCGCCTAATAGCTTTTTTCAACCATGAGGTGAGAGAAGTACAAGAACGGCTGAAACCTAATATTGTTAGTAAATTGATGGGTTTAAAGAAAAAAGTCACATGGTTCAATCGATGCTACAATTATAAGAAAATGCGACGCTCTCATGCAAACGATGAAGAAATTTTTGAAGACGTGAACGTATATTACATTTTCGAGTTTGATGGAAATGAGTTCATGTATACGGACGTTTGGAATCTAATTAAAAATAAACATTTTTTCATGTAGACGATTATTTTATTTGTAATGTTTTATGTAATGTTTGTCGGTCCTACATCTTATTTGTAATGTTTATTTTTATGTGTTTTTTTTGGTAATGTTTTATGTTATTTGTAATGTTTTTTTATTTGAATGTATCTTAATATTTGTTGGTGCATTCTGTTTCAAAAAATAAAGGATAAATAACATAATACAAACACACACAAAAAATAAAAATAAAAAATAAAAAATAAAAAACATAGTACATATAAATAAAGCTATACAAACGCAGTACAAGTTTAAAATATGGGAGATCTTTCAAAAGATTCCAAGGGGCTTCATAGTCGAATATCTTTCCGTTGCTAATGGATTTTTATTTTTCTTTAACCACCTCCAACATGTCTTCCTCAGTATCATTCACACACGTGTCTTCAATCTTCTTATAAAGATCGTTGAATAACACAACTTCTGTTTTTAATTCATACCATTTTGCTGCTATATCAAGCGTGCTGCGATGATTTTCTAAGGTGGTTTGAGAGTCAGTGTTGAAGGTATTGGTTAAAATGAGCCAAAACATTGTATCATCCAAACTGCTGTTCTCGTAGACATTATTATATGCACAAGTTAGAAGCAAATACTCCTCAACGGTCCATGGTTTTGAACCCATTGTAAGAGATACAAAGTAGATGCAGTGATATAGATCAGATGAAATGATACAGATTTTTGAGTCATTTTATAGTGAAATATAATTTACGACTTCTGAGTCCGCATAACTGACTTGGCAGTCCGCGGAAGTAACTTGACAGTCCGCGAACCAAATATAATAACAAAAATAAAACACATAATTATATTAAACAAAATTACTAAAACCGGGTATTTCATATTAGTATATACAAATTTCCTAAAATCAAGTTATATAGTGTCCCAAATAATATTTTTCATCATATTTCTATATAGAAATCCCGCATCTCTACGTGGCCTATCAATCTTCACTACGGATACTCCACAATCCCCCCTATCTTCGATGTATTCCTACTGTGGCGCGTCTATAGCTTCAACAAACTCCACAATTACATTGTCTCTGTGTCCATCGGGGAAATCGTTCCAGTACTCAATCACATCTAGCTCTGAGATAATATTATCCCCAAAATTTTTGAATTCTGCACCAATCTTGTACTTTGAGAAAAAATTCATAGATCGTGCTAAATCATAAATGTTTACTTTCCACGTATTTAAATGTAGCACTGCCAAAAACCAATGGACACCAATAACGTTTATGAGGAATAGAACCTAGAAAAAAAAGTAGTTAATTCAGTAATATTATATATATAAATAAATAAATATTAAACTAAACTAACCATATTCACATCCTTCCATTTAGGATAGCCTCCAACACCATTTGCTACATTCTTAAAAAAAAATGATTTTCCGGGTTGCAAATTGAGTTCTTGAGGGTATATCGTCCACCTTGCGTTCGTCGGTCGTCTTTCCATGAGCAAGACACTCCATATTAACATTTGTTGTACATTTTAAGATAAAAATGTTACAATTATTTATATAAATTATCATCTAAAAATGAAGAAATTAACCACCCAGAGTCAGTAACTGCACGTAACCTTGACCAAAACTCCACATCCAGTCGGAGTATATGCAGCCTGTGTGTAGTATTGAGGTTGGAAGAGATCGTATTCCATTATTTCCAAAAACCCAACGTACTAGCAACATAAATTTTGTCTAACCGTAGATGATTTGAAACATCACTAATGTCTTCATTCACAATGTCTTCATTTGCTTTTTCGGGACACTCCATTGTTTTTTTCCTTGGTTTGGTGATTTTCTTCAATTTTGGTGTGGAGTGCATCTAAAAAATTAAAATGTTAATTAATTATCAACAACCTAATATTTTATAAATACACAAAATTTAAAATAAATTAATACCACTTTGAACGACGTCCGTTGATACCGTGAAAGACCCCTCATTCGTTGCGGCCTAACAATAGGAGTGACTGTTTTTTTGTGATGTTGACCCACATCCGGTGACTGCTCAACATATTGCCCCGTAGGTGTATGCCCAACTTCCCCCTCCAAATCATGAGTAAATGTATCATCATAATGCAACTCTGTACCATGGTAATATGTTTCTTCCTCCTCTTCATTTACCATGTCCTCCTCCTCACTAAACCCTGTATCTGGTTTATCTTTTTTCTGTAATAGACGGTCTACTTTAGAAGTTAAGTCAGCCACAACGCCTATTAGACGCTTCACCAATGCCTTTGTGCTCTTCTTCTTCTTCTTTACCGACCTTGTTGATTTGTCGCTTGACATATAACTTCTTTCTACTTGAGGCTGTTGCGAGGTAGAAGCATTTGTGGCCGTTTTAGTCGAAGATGTTTCTTACTTATACTTCTTACTTCGAGGAGGCGAGGCAGCAATAGGTGGTGGAATTTGCAGCCGTGGGGGAGATTCTTCATGGTTAAGAGTCCAATTCACATAGCGAATGTAAAACGGCTCCATGAGCTCCATCTCGTTTGCCACGACAACAACAGGATGGTTGTTAGGCTACAAAAATCAAATTGTTACTTTAACATGAAAAAACATTAGAATTTGTAATTATAATATAAAAAGCATACCACAGACACTTTGATTATTCGACAACATTGAACCCAAGATAACTGTGTTTTTCTTCTCCACGACCTCATTTGTGGCAATTCTGTCGGCATGCGAACATGATACTGTGTTTCCTCTGGGAACGTCTCCAAAATCCATATATGTGGAAAAAGAAGGTAAGTATGATGCGATTATAGTATAAAAACGAAAGTGCAACGATATTATATTGTACAAACGGAAGTACAATGCTATTATGGTATAAAAAACGAAAGTATGATAAAAATTTAGATACATTGGAAACTAACCTTAAACTGAAGCATCAAAACCGGCAACAATATACTTGTGTACTTTCTTCGATTCAGGATTGGTCTGCTTGAATATTCTAAAATTTTCTATTTTCTCAAACATTCCATGCATCAACCCCGAAGTATAGGCCCAGAAATATGTACCCCATGCAAACCTACAATTTTCAATTTATTTATTATAATTATTATTGTATTTATACGTATTTTTTAAATGTAATACCTGTTCCAATCATCTATATTATTAACAAGCTTGTATACTGCCACGAGACTGCCCGTTTTAACGTCCCGTCCGTGGAGACCTTTCAACATAAAAACAAGCTGGATAAGCATTACAGCATCTTCATCCTGAAGTGCCAAATAATTCAGAGACATAATTTAGTCGTCCAAAATCTTTAAGCCGCAAACGTGCATGTGTAATGTCTGGGAACAACCGAGCCTGAAGATTTGAATTTGTCCGACCTCTTTCGTCATGGAGTAAATCCACATAAGGACCAACCTTGTTGATTTGTCGCTTGACATATAACTTCTTTCTACTTGAGGCTGTTGCGAGGTAGAAGCATTTGTGGCCGTTTTAGTCGAAGATGTTTCTTACTTGTACTTCTTACTTCGAGGAGGCGAGGCAACAATAGCTGGTGGAATTTGCAGCCGTGGGGGTGATTCTTCATGGTTAAGAGTCCAATGTACATAGCGAATGTAAAACGGCTCCATGAGCTCCGTCTCGTTTGCCGCGACAACAACAGGATGGTTGTTAGGCTACAAAAATCAAATTGTTACTTTAACATGAAAAAACATTGGAATTTGTAATTATAATATAAAAAGCATGCCACAGACACGTTGATTATTCGACAACATTGAACCCAAGTTAACTGTGTTTTTCTTCTCCACGACCTCATTCGTGGCAATTCTGTCGGCATGCGAACATAATACTGTGTTTCCTCTGGGAACGTCTCCAAAATCCATATCTGTGGAAAAAGAAGGTAAGTATGATGCGATTATAGTATAAAAACGAAAGTACAACGATATTATATTGTACAAACGGAAGTACAATGCTATTATGGTATAAAAACGAAAGTATGATAACAATTTAGATACATTGGAAACTAACCTTAAACGGAAGCATAAAACCGGCAACAGTATACTTGTGTACTTTCTTCGATTCAGGATTGGTCTGCTTGAATATTCTAAAATTTTCTATTTTCTCAAACATTCCACGCATCAACCCCGAAGTATAGGTCCATAAATATGTACCCCATGCAAACCTACAATTTTCAATTTATTTATTATAATTATTATTGTATTTATACGTATTTTTTAAATGTAATACCTGTTCCAATCATCTATATTATTAACAAGCTTGTATATTGCCACGAGAATGCCCGTTTTAACGTCCCGTCCGTGGAGACCTTTCAACATAAAAACAAGTTGGATAAGCATTACAGCATCTTCATCCTGAAGTGTCAAATAATTTAGAGACATAATTTAGTCTTCTAAATCTTTAAGCCGCAAACGTGCATGTGTAATGTCTGGGAACAACCGAGCCTGAAGATTTGAATTTGCCCGACCTCTTTCGTCATGGAGTAAATCCACATAAGGACCAACTCTTAACCCACTAATCAAAATATATTCAGTTTCACTAAAATCCAACTGCATCCCCTGTATCTCAAAAAGAAACTTCCCCATTTCAAACACTTCTTGAGGCCTTACTTCATGCAACATCATCAAATACACAAATAAGGGGTCACCATTGGGGACATGCATTCCTAAGAATCATCCAAATGGTGAAGCTTCAAATAATGCTTGTTGCGATTGTGGTAGGCGCGGAAAATAGTCGTTAATGATCGTACCGACCCCGCCTTTTAAAGTTAAATATGCTTTTTGATCGAGATCATCGTGCTACAAAACATATACATTTAATTTAATATAAAACGTTAGTAATTAAAAATAAAAACAAGGTTTTAAAATTACATAGTTAATTCGGTTTAGGCAATAAATAGCAACGTACTTTTAATTTACATTATAAGATTAAAAAATACCCAATTATACCATTCACATCAATTTACATAAAAAAGTAAATAGCAACGTACTTTCAGATTAATTGCTATAAATGGTTCATTTTGAAATTAATAATTGATATAAAAGGGCAGAAAAAAAGGGGAAAATGGCATTTTAGGTCATTCCGCAGAGGTTATAGGTCATTCCGCGGAGACCCATATGCGGGAGTGACCTATCCCCTCCGCGGAGTGACATATTAGCCATTTCAAACCCATTTTAATTCATTCCGCGGAGATTATATGTCACTCCGCGGAGGTCCCTCTGCGGAATGACCTATCCCTCCGCGGAATAGATCTTCGCTATTTCAAACCCATTTAATCATAAATCTAAATCTAAACATTTTGCAGGTTATGAATTGCATTTTAGTACCATTTTAATCTTCAATCTAAACAATACGAAAAGGGAAACATTAATCTAAAGAGGGAAACTTGAAAATTACCTGGGAGCTGTATCCATCGGCGAAAATGTTGGGAAATTCCGCTCCATCTGCGCCGGAAAATCGGGGTTGAAGTCGATGTTGCCGAAAAATGTCGGGGTTGAAGCCGATTTCGTCGGAAAATCGGAGTTTGGAGGCGATGCGGAGACACAAAGAATAGATTGAAGTCAAAGAGGAGATCAGTGGGGGGACCAAAGAGGAGACCCATTTTTTACAAAGAGGGGAGGGGTGAAATTACGAAAATACCCCCAATCCGTAGAGATTTCGTCTGTTCGCGAGCCCGTAGAGGGTGCTCGGCATAATACATGTCTATAGCCGGAATTTTGTCTTTTTGTGACTAAATTTTGAAATCCACCCCCAAAAATATCTATAGCCGTCTTTTTCCCTTTATAAAACTGCAAGTGACATGTTTCACAATGTTAAACATTGATCAATAAACCCATATATTACATAACTAAAGAAAAATCTTCACTAAAATTTCATTATCTTATCATAACATATAAATAAGTCCCAACTAAAATTTATTTATGGGAAAAACATAAATTACCGACAAAAGTGAGGATTTGGACATTATATTCTCGATTTATAGTTTTCATTGCTAACCAGATACATTAAAGTCTCATTATTTACCATAATTTACGAATAAGTGTCAAACTAAAATTTGTTTACGAAAAAACAAAAACTACCGGTAAAAGTGATTATTTGATCATTTTCCCTCAGTAATACATAGTTTATCTGTTTTATTGCTGACCTAATGACTTAGTTATTAAATGAGCTGATGAGATGTATATGTTGGATTATATAATACTACTCTACCGTAAAATTTGATATCTTGTTGCATTGTATATCTTTTAGAATATGAAAGCTTATTTCCCGGTAACTCACATTTTACCGATTTTATTGCTGACCATGATGCGTAGTTATTAAATGAGCCGATAAGATTGATATCAAGTCTTAAAGTAATCGTAATATTATATAACTCATCATATTCCTCCTATTAGTATATTTAATGACTACGCGTTCAGGTCAACAATGAAACTGATAAAAATATATATTAAACAGAGAAAAGTGTTATATCATCATTTTTAACGATAATTCAGGTTTTTTCATGAACAAATTTTATTTTGAATTTTATTCGTAAATTATAATAAAATAATAAAACTTTAGTGTATAATGTCAACAATTAATCACGTAAAATCCAAATTTTTAATTTTTTAGTTCATAATGTCAAGTAAAATCTAAAATTTTAATTTGAAGTTTGATTCGTAAATTATGATTTATGATAAATTAATAAGAAGCCCAAACTAAAAAGTTTGGCATTTACTTGAGGCATCCTACGTGCACTAAAGACTAGAAATTTACCCAATGTATATGTCATAATGATTTGCGTAATTTTCGTATATTAAGGATAACATATCGATACTACACAGTGAAAATGAACAAAATCCACTCATTACACTAGAGTTTCCCCTGCCTATTGCACTTTGATGGTACCATTTTTAATCACTTTCTGGCACTACCCACACCAGTTAAACGGTCCTTTGCTTTCATCATCTTCAAATCTATACAGTTTTTTCATTTTGAATCATTAAAATATTAATTATGAAATCAAATCAGGTAATAATTAATTAAATATTCCACATGTTCACAACCATCAATTTGATAATAATAATAATAATAATAATAATAATAATAATAATAATAATAATCATTATAATGGTTTTGGTAAATTACATTAAAATAAAAGATATCACAAAAACGACCACATCATTTTGAAAGATATAGAAAACTAACCTAACTTTTGAGTATTTACGAAAATGACCAACATTTTCCAAATAATTATTTCGTACTTCAATAAAATATAATTAATACTTTTTCTCAATTATCAAAAAAAATGTTTCTACCTATTTTCGAAATTTTTACTACGAAATATATAATATTATTCATTTTTTCAACCAAAAGTCATATTTTTATATCTTGTATCGTATGTATTTTTGATTTGTTATGCTTTTTACTTATTGATAGATTTCAGAAGAAAAGTTAGTTTTTTCAACGAATTTATAAGATTTTTTTTGAAATATAAAATAATTTTTTATCAGAAATCCAAAATTTATCTTTTTGTCAGAAAATTAATATTAATGTCACATTATATTAGTCAGAAATGCATGAGACCATTTTGGCAAAACCTAAAAGTTGGGCTTTGTTTTCTTCATATTCCAAAATTTCAAATGGTTAATTTCTTGAATATCACTTAGAATAAAAATATTTCTAGTCGATTTTTATTTTAAAAAATAACCTTCCATTTTTATATTTGAATAAG